TTTAATCCTAGGGATTTGATGTAGTCTATTTAGACATGTTTTAATTCATATATAATTATTTCAATTAATTTTTCTTGTTATTTATTTATATTGTTCTTGCGCAATGCTTTCAATTAACTGACTACTAATTGACTGATTTGATGCTTTAAATTTTGACGCTCGATAGAGGTAAATTTAGACATGATCTAAGAATAACATAACCTAGATTTCGTAGATTTCGAGAGAAAGTGTGAATCTTTGAGGCGAATTCCACTTAAAGATCTAGGTGCTTTGATAATTTATATATGTTTAGTTCAGAATAGAGATAATGGAATTAAAATACAGAAATAGATTATATTTGGTGTTCAAGAGAGAGAAATGGAATTAATTTAGAGTTCTTGCCTATAAATTTTGGAAAGATGGATAGAAATAGTTATAACGGTTGTAAAACATTGTTGATAGTACGATGAAATCAATCTCTAGGCATTCATAATTTGATAAGAAACTTTACAAATTGCTCTTGTTCACTTTGCATCGTTCATCCCACTCATTTTAATTTAGCAATAAAATATCGTTTCAAAAATTGATTGTCTAAATAAAGTGAAAATTTAAATAATTATAGTACTCAATAAGATTCAAATATCAATTCCTGTGAGTTCGACACTCTTACTTTAATAATATATTACAAAATCTGATATCGTACACTTGCAGTATAAAATCACGTTGCATAAATTACATGGTAAGTTTTTGGCGTCGTTGTTGGGGATTGATTCATTTGAATTCGATTGATATTATTACCAATTGGCTTTCATTTTAATTTGGATTTCTATCTTAACTTTAGTTTTTATTTATTTTTATTTGTCTTGTATATGTTTCTAATAGCTTCCTTGTTCTTATTTTCACCTGTTTATGTGAAGGGCGAGAAATCTTGACTTACTACTTGTTGATCCTGAACCACAACATACATTCCACCTTCTAAGGGGTATTCAGAGACACAACCATGAAGCAATGGCAGAACAAGATCCACCAATAACAAATCAGAACAATCAGAATAGTCAACAACGGGCTATAAGGGACTACATCAGACCAGTTGTCAACGAAAATTACTACGGTATTGTAAGCCCAGCTATTGCTGCTAACAACTTTGAACTGAAGCTAGGACTTGTATACATGGTTTAGCAGAATCAATTTAGGGGAGCTCCAACAGAAGATCCAAATGCTCATCTAGGGTCCTTTTGGAGATCTGTGATACAATGAAAATGAATGTCGTTACTGAAGATGCAATCCGACTCCGTCTATTTTCCTTTTCCCTAAGAGCCAAAGCTAAAGCATGGTTCCAATCATTGTCGTATGGATCCATCACAACTTGGTAGGGGTTAGCACAGAAGTTTCTTACAAAATTCTTTCTACCTTCGAAGGCAGCACAATTACGGGGTGAAATTGGGCTATTCCGACAATTAGATGTCGGACCGTTCTATGAGGCATGGGAGAGATATAAAGATCTATTCAGAAGATGTCCTCAGCATGGTTACTCAGATTGGTTGCAGATACAAACCTTCTATGACGGTTTGAATGGTCAGACACATATAGTGGTATATTTTGCAGCAGGGGTTGCATTATTATCCAAGACTCAAGATGAGGCTTACGTATTATTGGACGAGATAGCTACTAATAGCTATCAATGGCCGAGTAAGCGTTCAAGTGCAAAGAAAGTTGCTGGCCTTTATGAGATGGATCCCATTACCGCCCTTGCAGCTCAAATGTCATCTCTCACTAATCAAATAGTTGCATGGACTTCACATGGATCGCAAAAGAAATCAGAATCTATTCTGGCTACATCCACTGCATACCAGAAAGCTGAAAGGGAGAATGAACAACTTTAGTTTGTGAACGACCGAAACTTCAATAAAAAAAAAAACTACCCAGGAAACAACTACTATCAGGGGTTTAATAATCAGGTTTCTGAACGAAAGCCATCACTAGAAGATATTTTAGAAACCTTCATTTCGGAGACCAGATCGAGGTTCAACAAAGATGAGCCAAGACTTGGACAACATTAAGACTCATACGGTGAAGAATTTGGAGGTACAGATTGGTCAGATAGCAACTGGATACAGTCCCAATAGAAAGGAAAATTTCCCAGTGATATGGACGGCAACCCAAGGGAACACTGCAATGCTATCATCTTAAGGAATGGTAAAGTAGTTGAAGAACGCAAGCCTAAAGAGGTTGTGGTGCCTACATCGGATCCCATCCTTCAGGGGAAAAGCAGACTCAAGAGCAGAAAACTGAGGTAGAGATAAAAAAGAATATTTATAAGCCTTACTCAATTTCATTTCCGAATAACCCACCTATCTTGAAGCCCCCACTACCATTCCCGCAGAGGTATTCGAAAAAAGAGTTTGATGAGAAATTTGCAATGTTTTTGGAGGTCTTCAAGAAAATCCACATCAACATTCCCTTTTGCAAAAGCCTTGACCCAAATGTCTAACTATGTCAAGTTCTCAAAGGAGGTGATGTCAAAGAAGAGAAATTTGGAGGAGTTCGAGACTGTTAAGCTAACAGAGGAGTGTAGCACCATACTTCAGAAGAAACTCCCTCACAAATTGAAAGATCCGGGTAGCTTCAACATCCTGTGCAATATTGGTGGTATCACATTTGATAGGACACTGTGTAACCTTGGAGCTAGCATAAACTTGATGTCCTATCAGTGTTCAAAAAGTTGGGTCTTGGAGAAGTAAAACCCACAATCCTCACCTTATAACTGGCAGACAGATCGATTACATATCCCAAGGGCATTATTGAAGATTTGTTAGTGAAGGTTGATAAGTTCATCTTTTCGGTGGACTTTGTGGTATTGGACAAGGAGGAGGATGAAAAAGTACTGTTGATTCTTTGTCGACTTTTCCTGGCTATTAGAAGAGCATTGATTGATTGCAAGGAGGGAAGTTGACACTACGGGTTAATGAAAAGCAAGTAACTTTCAACATCCATTAAGAAAAGAAAGCCCCAGAAAAAGGAAAAGTTGACATTTGCAAAATGATCCAATCGGTTAAAGTAATTACAGGAAACAGAGGAAAAGGGAAATTACTTTATGATCCGTTAGTGCAATACATGACAATCAGTTACATGGAAAGGGATGCATCTACTAATGGT